GGCAGAATAATACTGCTACAAATACCACATCAAAGTATTTCTCCGACCCACTAACCCTCATATGTAACTGACGTGAAAGGCATATGCTTGAGAAATTGGATACGGAATGTTAGGGCTTCATTCCCAGTAAACAGACAGATTTATGCTAGCACGAAAACACATCCACCCACATTTTTCTAATTAAAAATTCCTTCAGACCACCTTCATTGCTGACGTAAATGTTGTGAAAAAGTGGTTCGAATATCACTATGACGTCAGATCTTTCTATTCCTATTTTGAGAAAGGTTCTATCCAAACCGTTATTGGAGATATGATGTCAGCAAAACAAGCGCACTACGAAAAACAGACCTTTTTCTTTTTTTCCAAAGTGATCTCATCGATTTGTTCGCCATCGGCTCTCTCCAAGCGTATCACGCAGTATGGACTGACGACGCCAAACAGGTCGCGTTTGCCCAATCGTTCACCTTTTACCACACGTACACGTAACAGCTCAGTCCCCTGAAATCCTGGATTTTTGAGAAACTGTGTTTCTGAAGTTTGATGAAGCTAGAAAAGGTAAAGGTCAGAGTGAAGACTCCTAGAAGTTTTCTCTCATATCTCTTTGGTTTTGCTGACTTTTTCGCCTCGTCGCCTGTTGCATCCACACTTTGTACAACTTAAATGTGTTGAGTATGAACATCGATAAAAAGTAATTCATTTTCAATCTTAGTATAAAAATCATTGAAAAGTGATCCATCCACAATCTTACTCTCAATGTCAGTTTGATAAAAAAAAAGGTGATAAGTTCTAATAGCAGGGAAAGGCACCGATTATTCAACTCAAATCCATTGTAACGACGAGAGAAAAACATTTGTGCTGAGTAGACCAGCACTGAGACATGGTGAATGAAGTGGCTATATCTTTCAAAAACTACTCACTCTTCCTCCACAAAAAAAGGGAGTTATGTCGATAGAAGCCAAAAGTAGTAGTAAGGGGAGTTAAAGCACAGTTTACGATAAAAATGATTCCTGAGATATCTCTTCCGAATAAATCTGCCACTCCCACGTATATGAGGCGCTGTTAGATCAAAAAACGACCTAGTTGGGGGGTTGTAAGGGCTTAAAGATTGTGTCAGCTGTATGCCACACCCTGAGACGGACGAGTTCTAGCGACATTGTAGAGGGTGCATTATTCAAAATGGATATTCATGCTGGGATTCCTGACAACTATTTAGTAGTGACTCGTGACGACAATAAAAAGCAGTTTTGGACACTTTCGGCTTAATGTAGTCAGTTCTTTACGCAATTAGATCAAATGCAATCTCGTCCGATACTGCTCGTCCCATTACCTTTCCGTCATGCCATTCTTTTCCTCAATGCCAACCTTTTCTTCATTCCCACATGCATGCTAAATTTCGAGCAAAAATTCAGCCTCAGATGTCACTCGAACTGGCACTTGCGCTTTTCGGTCGCTGTTCACTTTTGTGGGTGCACGCCGCCGAAATTCACTCTTCTCACTGACAACTGCTTCATTTCCGACTGCTTTTTTTCCCTCTTGCCATAAAAAATATTCGCAAGGGCACGTGCCGTAAACCAAAGTGCGAGTTCAAACCCTGTTCAGCTGACGTTTTGCTCATAACACAGCATTTTTGTGATAGCACTTGCATCATATACTGCAGCGATAATAAGGAATTAGCAGTACAAAAAAATTGGAATAACCTAATTCAAGAAAATTCAGAAGAAGATAAAAAAGAAAAAAAGAAGAAAAGGAAGAAAGAAGAAAAGTGTTACCTCAGTAGTGGATCTGTCGATGCCGTGAATAACCGTGGCGACCATCACTATCCGTCAACGAGCAAGCAAGCGAGAAAAAACTAGCCGGCTTGTAAGATATCCGAGTAGAAAATCGAGTTGTTGCTGAGCCAGCAGCGAGTATGCGAGTGGTTTGAACAGGAAAGACGACGACGTTGAATAGAATCGAATAGATAGTAGTAGTTAGTGAAATCCGTAGAGCAACAAAGCGAATAAATGATGACGGACGTTGAATAAGGCGTGAAGGGCCGCTCGTGCAGGTCAGTTAAGTGAGAAATGAAGTGGAAGTTGTGAACACTGCGAGAAACACACAACGGCAAATAATTGAGCAATTGATTGATAGCAGCCTATTGATATCGTATTTCGATTGTTAATGATGATGATTTCAATTCTTCTTTCACGATACAGCCCGATACTCGACCGGTTACATTTACGGGAGAGTTTTCGGCAATATCGTTACGAAATAGGCATCTGCCCTGAAATTCGTGCTAATTAGGGGTAGAAGGCGAAATTAATGGCAATTCGATAGAACGACGGAAAAATTTCTCGAACGAAATTCTCGAC